ATAAATATATTTTCTGAAAATCGCAACATACCCGGTAATGTACCTAAGTGAAGGAAATAACCTAATAAAATAAATAAATTTGATATCGGATGCTGTTAAATGGTGAACAAGAGATGGCTCAATTGTAATCAAAGCCTCTTTTTCAAGTGCATAATTTTTTCAATGTTTATTTAAAGTTTTCAGTGCATTAACCGTTATGTGGTATAAGACTGTCAAGCTTAATAGCCGATTATGTCTTCCGTTCAAACGTTTGGATGGAAGTTTTGCAATTTCTTTATTCAGGCGTATTTGCCGCGACATTTTCACTATGAACAACTGGAAAAAATCTCTGCAGCAAAAAGGTCCTTGAAAGTCGCGCTTCTCATAATTTGCAGTAGTTTTGCTAGTCACGTATAAGAGACGCAAGTAGTCTAGTGACTCAAAGGTCAGTTGCGAAAATCTATACTAATCTTACAGCTTCTGCACTTGAACCCTTCCGTTCGCATGGCGACAAATTCTTGTGATGCTCGTTGTATTCAAAAATATACGAGTCAACTATATCGGTCAGAGTTTCATCCCAGACGCGAATCCAGCCATGTTCAGAGGACGCAGGCAGAATTCGCGTCGTCTTTTTTTGTCACCTCTGTATGAATATTGCAATCTATTCTGTTTTAAGTTGCTGAGCAAAAGTATTGTTTCTTTAGCCTTTCCTGTTGAAGCTGCTAACCCCACTCTCTGATAAGATTAAGTCGCGGTAACCAAAAAACGCTGCTACGGCGACTATGAGTTGTTACTATCTTCGCTCCCAAATAGAGACATACACAAACACGAGAACGACTGTTACTCAGCCATGTGCTTGCGTCAGCTAATAAAAATAGCTTAACATTAACTGCTCTTTTTTTTTATCAACCACCTCTAAATGAATACCTCCCCTGAGTGGTTCTGTGTATGCTGAATTCCGAAGGATTCAATATGAAATCTTTAAGCATATGCGAATAAATGAAAAAGAGTACTATTTATTAGCGAATAGCATATTGGTTTAAATCGATTGATAAAGTTTGTCTGTGAGACGGACTATTGCAAATTCTGTCCCCACCAGACTCCGTTACCGTTGTTGCAATGTGATAGTGTCATCAAATGCCAAAAATATGCCAAGACCTGTTTGCAACAGAGCGGTACTGATGATCGCTTTTTAAATAAAAAAAAACCCTGTTTAAGGTGAAAACGCTTACATGACTGCTTATAAAACGCTGAAATTATTTGTTCACGGTTTATTTCTTAGCCTTGTTTCTCAGTGACAGCCGAGTCGGAAGTATAAACCATTAACACCATATTAAATGAATGTTATTATAATCCATCGTTTATGTGCTGCACGGTTTGTGTTTGTGCCATTCAAAAACGAGTATAAAACAGCTTGCGTTCTGCTTTATTACTTTCGCCAATTTGACGCCCCATGAGCCTCATAGTGATTTCATTGCTCGCAGGATGGTATGCATAAGCCATTTTTTTTATAGTCTATTGTCTTTAATTAATTACCGTAACATACGATATTCAACTTTAACAAGCTCTAACCTAACATTAGTCAAAATATTAAATATTTGACGAAACGGAACCTCTATCTAGATCGAGCGAGTAACTCTGCGGTCGAATAATTATTTCACGTAGGTAACCGGTATTTGAATTTAGAAAACGAACGTGGCCCACTGGCGCACAAAACAGCTTCAGATCGTCAATGAACTTTGCAGACAACTGAACTTCGAGAACTTTATAATTTACCCTTGACTTTCCCTTGTACATATTTTTATTATTCCTTCGTACTGATATGCGATGTGTGGCCTATTTTGAATGTTGTAGTAAAAGATATAGCGAAAAAAGTATTTGGTCCAATAGTATGAAATAGGTAGCCTATGTTCAATGGCTGGGTAGATCTACCAATTGCGATGAAGCCGGCGTATAATATAGGAATCATTTTTTCGACGTATTGTCACAAAATGAGCGAAGGTTCAATTCGAGTCTAATATGATCGTATGTCATGATGTGGCAAACATTAGAAAAAATTAGCTCTGAAATTTAGAATCGTTGAAATAAAAAAAACAAAAAAAAAGAAAATCACATACTGGAGCTCGATGTACGCGTAGGTCGAGTTGCAATTATCCACTGCAGCAGTGAGAATATTAATATACGGAACATATTAAAATTGCGATTCTTAGAATCCCAATATAAAAGATATATTGCTGATATAACAACGCGAAGTGTCTCTCCAGACATCTTTTGCCGTCGAAACCGTGTTCTGCCAGCTAATTCCAACAACTAATGATGACACTTAGGCAATAGGTAATTATCAAAAATAAAGCATACTGCTATCCTGATATCTATGCAGTAGGAAAAAAGAAATCTGGCTATATGAAAAAAGAAAATTGTCAATTTTGGCAGAATTCAGAAATTCACATTTTCTCGTCTGGATGTCTCTAGAACACGAGAGCCCTATGGTCCATGAGTGAGGTTGACGCGACACAAACTTAGCAGGCGTCAGTGAACGATAAGTCAATTATAGTTGCCAGTAGTCCGTATACTGTACATCGATAATTAGTGGATAGCATCAAGTACTGAATGCAGCGTAAATAATTTAGCAAAATGCAATAAAGGATCACGTTTGTTTAGCAAATATGTGATACAATTGCCTATCACATATATTGTTTTTGCTGAGGAGACTAACTTCGACTTTAGTAGCTAATCCCAAATTTCCCGTGAACCAAGCTGTAAAGGGAACATACGCTAAACACAGCCAAACAACATTCGAAGAGACTCCAGAAAATTTTAAAGCGGCACTCGGAGAGAGTAAACCTGTACACCATTCGAAGAAAATATAGCCAAAGGACAATGGCGTTCAGTATCTCATCGATTAACCTTCGATCCTAGGATGGCTTGTAAAAACGAGGACACAATGCTACGAAACTATAATGCATACAGAAATCGAAGAAAGACATCTAGAAGAAAGTTAATGAGGTCAAACGGATCGGCAACCGATAATGTTATTAACGTACATGCCAACGTGACGACGATAATATAAAATACCCAGGTTTACCTCGTATGAAGTGACGGTGGTAGCGGGTCAAGCAAAAAGGAGGAGCTGAATGTTACCCTATATGGTTAGTCCCACATTGAGTCACTTGTTTGACACTGTTAAACGAATTCTGCAGGTTATTATCTTTATCACGATAGCGAGAAAAATTTAGCGGAGAAAACCGTATTTAAGTTAATCATCATTAACGCCAGCCTTACCAGCTTTTATTAAAAAGAAACTTATTCCTTTAATTTACTAAACTCACTGAATTGAGTAATAATAAGCAATCAAATGTGTAAAGGTGCAATTTACATTAGTGTCAAAATTAAACTTAAAAAAATAAACTTGACCAGCTAAGTGCTCATTTTCCAAAATGTGCTTAGCTAATTTTAGGTAAGCTAATAAAACCTACAATCACAAAGATAAAAGCTTTATCAAGCTTCAACCGTGCAATTTTAATCTGCAATTATAATATAATAGAGCCCTATGATGGCCTGGAAGATTCATACTTGTGTTGTCTTTGAATGATCATAGGACAAAATGCTCATATAGGAAGGTCTCCAGAGGCCAACATGTATTAGAATTTTATTTTAATTATTGAACGAAGTTGCCTGATTTATTTTTTACAAATGCGTAAATATTCAAGCGTTTAAAATCGTTAACAAGGGTTTAATCTAGCTTCATTAACGTATGCATCAGTCATCTCTAATTCTTTGAACGTTGAAGGTCGTTTGACATCTTGTTGGTCGCCAATATTCATCGCCATTATACGCAAAACAACGATCACTTCTAAATTAACGTAAGTAATGTCGCCCTTTCAAAGTCATTATCAATACAATAAGCGCTAAACGTTAAAAGAGATACACACTAAATAAAAGTCACAAGGAAAACAGCATAAAAAAAAATATCTGATTCAGCGATTACATTATATACGATCTTTTGTTTTATTATTAATGTTATATGTTTTCCATCATAGTTCGTCTGTCAGCTCCGTATCGAAACCATCGTAATTCTATTACAATATGTTTTGAATATGTATTCTTCACACAAAATGCCGCTGAACTTAGATGAATTCAAAATACAATTGTACATACTGCTGTGCCGGTTTTATCATCTCATCACCTAGCAGTCATACATTTTTTGCTTCAATAACATCGTCCTTTGTTTATTCCCGAAGCCCATAGTTTTACTTCGCTTTCTCCTAGATTTTCTTTCCGCTTCACTTATTTTTTCCCTGGACATAATACGGAAGTGACTTTTTTCGTGTCACTGCCACCGCCAATGCTTTCGAGTAGATGTCGTCTACACCGCCCCCCCGCGCGCACGCGCGCGCCCGCGGCCGCCCCTAATATCCTGTCGGTCCCGTTTCGCCTGTTGCTGCAGATGTCGCTGACGCGTTTGTCCGGTGGTTGTCGCTGACGTCGCCGCCGTCGTCGTCCTCGTCTATATCCCTCCTAATACCGCCTACGATCTCCTCCTCCCCTTTCGCGTGACCTCCTGCGCGGTGAACGCCGACGTGGTGACCTGGATCGGCTACGGTCCTGGGTGAAGTACCCTGTAATAGTAAGATAACAAGTAACAGTTGAAAATAGCTCTTTTGAATCGTATTCATCCTTACGTTTATTCTTATTGCTAACAACACGCTGCTCGAGGCGACCAAAGCAGGAAGATTATTTAATGTCAGACAGATAGCTGAATTAGAGTAACCTTAAATATAAATTGCAATTTATGCAAAGCCCGTGGCCAAAGGATGTGGCTTCAGTTTTTGGCTTGTTTTAAAAGCAATAGCCCACATGAGACTGCCCTCTATAATCATCCAGTTATTTTCTAATGAGGTAAATTCTGCTGGCGCTTAGGAATTTGTCACTATAGCTTCTGATACCCAGAACTACTTACGTCCGCCTCCGACGCCGCCTCCTCCACGTTTTCGGCCGTAAAGCTCTTTGCGCAGCTCCCTCGAAATCGGTCGCAGGTGCATGAAGTTGCAGAATCCCGAACGAGTGCACTCCCTAGAACGGGTGAGCATATTTAGTCATCACCATCATTTTTGTCAGAAATAAAATGCATTCACTAATTTGCCCAGACGCACGCGCACACATACAGGAAATGTGGAATATATACAAGTTATGAGTAAGAACAGCAACAATGAAAAGCGATGGCCCACTCGGTAAACAGACTGCCAGGGCTACATTGGGACAGGCATCATTGCCTATCTGACATATGCTAGAATTTAACTGAATTGATTTTGCTAATTGTAATGAGATAATCATTATCATCACTGTCGTAAAATGGAGAAACCACTAAATAAAATGAAAGAAATCTAGAATTTTGTAAGCTAAATCTTCGTTTATGTTCGCCTGAAGGTGAATATTACTGTACAATGCCTGCAGACTTCGTCTCTTTAGAAACGAAGAGAACTGCGGTTACGGTGCCCCACGCTATTAATTTTATACGTTAATAAGCGATATGATTACTTTTGTGGTTTTATTTTTGTTACTCATGTAAAACATGTTTTAGATTAATATCACTCTGTATGCATTTGCTTTTGCGTCAACAAAACGTGGAGAATTTCTTGAATGACCGCTTATACTAGCGAATTAATTTGTCTCTACAATTATTGTAGCCACGTTATCATAACATCATTACCAAGACCCAACCAAAAACGTACGTCGAAATTGTCGTGACATCGTGACACATCACTTGACACATTCACACTCTAGAACAAACGAAGAAAAAAGAGGAACAAACATTTTCAGATACAAAATCTAAGTATACTTTTGCTACAGGTGTATCAGTCCGTGCTTGACGGCTAATATCTAACGATGGCAAAGCAAAAGATACAGAAAAAAGTTGAATAATTTCTTTCTTGGAGCTTGATGCCAGGGTCTTTGTTTCATCATTGCTGAAATTTGGGTTTGTTTTGCTTTTTGTTTTTTCTTTAGCTGAGATTTCTCCTAACTTACTCGGACATCACGCCGGCCCCTCGTTTCCGCACGCCATTTGCTTTCAAGCTTAAACCAACAGAGATAGGCTGAACTTATTAGAGATGCCTCGGTCGGCCTTCCTCGGAGTTGCATCTAGCTGAAAGGGACTAGGCGACTTAGACTGAAACTCTTTAAACAACACCCCCCAACCCTCCCCCCTGATACCCAGAACTGTCCTTCGTTTGAATGAAAATCTTTTTGGCAGGCGGCAAAAATGGAGAAAGTAAAAGATAGATAGACAGAGCGACAGAGGCGATCAATGACATGCCAACAATAATACTGTAACTCTGTAACTGTAAACTGTTAACTCAAAAGACTCTGTTAAAAGAAAATATCTTGCAGGGTCCACTTATGGGCGGATACATGCCGTATCAAGCAAATGTTTATGGATACTTATAATATCGACACATACATGGTCGCAAATGTGCAGGCAAATGTAGCCACGTGATAGGCACATCAGAGTTATCATCACAAAGCTATCTAGTTTGATACAAACGGATTTTTATCGATAAAGTGCTCTACTCAGCTATATTATACTAGAACAAAATTATACCATACTAATGAGACAAGTTGATGACGACGAGGTGCTTCGGCTCGCACACCGTGTTTGCCCTGCGTTAAGTTCTATAAAGCGTAATCGATGACAAGTGACTACTGACACCATCCCACCAACCATGTTACGGTCACAAGGTGATTTACTTCACCCCCCCCCCCCCCCCCCCCCCCCAACATGCAAGCTTACATTTACTGCATCTCTTCCGTTTATCGGTCCATTTTTATGTTGTTCGCTGGATACACACACACACACACAGACACATTCAGACGCACAGACACATACTTTCTCCACATTTGCATCTAGAAGACAGTTTTTTCTACATCTCAGACGTATCCCAGTTGTAATCCGCTGGGTCGACACTGGCATACAGTTACCCCCTGTGTATCATGCTGAACGCGCCCTTTGTATCCAGTTTAAACAACACGCTAATGTTGTTAGTGAAACTGATCCCTTAGCCCGCCTACCGAAACATATTGCCTCCAAATGCATGCTGCTGTCGTCGCTATCTGTAAACTGTAACGATTCAACCTATTACATCGTGAACATATATATCGCCGTCCTTCAGGTCAATTTGGTATGTTCGTCTGTACCTAAAAGAACGTATTTCTCGTTTCCCGCTTTTCTGCTGAAATAGAGATAGACAAAAACCCTGTGGGAACAGAAAAAAAACCTGAATGCCTCGCGATCTGTAAACACAAATCGGACGGACGCTTACTATCGCCCACTCCATTATAGCCTGAAAGGAACGAAACCCTGAAAAGGTTGTCAAACTCCCTGCAAACACGAGAGGACTACAAAGATGCGCTCAAACCTGTTTCTGTCGTTGCTAAAAACAAGAAGTGGGGGAAAGGGGAGCAATGTTCTAATTATAATTAGGAATGTTTCTGATTTTGATTTTCGACAGCAAGTAATTTCGGTGGTCTACAAAACTACTTTATCAACTAAAGACTGCCAGCTATCAGTTTTCTGAACTGAGAGCTCGTGTGGCGCGAGTACTTCGCTGCTTTAACACAAACGGCTTCGTTAGCAATAAGAATAACAAGAATACGAAAATAACTTAAGGTAACATGGCATGGTAAATTATAGAGGCTACTCATTCTGTGCGACACGAGCCAGAAACACAGACCAGATCCTGGTTTCGCTCGTCGTTTCGTCATACGTGTTGGCTTTTTGCTGAAAATTAATACAATCTCCATCTATCGGGGAAGGGTGGAGGTGGTTAGAGTGTGTCTTCTATTGTTAAAGGCGAGAATGCGGCTAAACGGAGGCAATTACTCATATATATTTTTCTGGAAGTGGTCGTAATACTGGATCTGCTGCTATTCTTGCTGCAGTTAACGTTAGTTGCTGGAAAAGACATAAGTCGAGAAATATGGGCCCTGCTTAAAACGAAACGTCTCGAGTTGAGTGAGTGTGTTTGAGGTCTGGAGAGGACGCGCCCAGCGCGACAGCCTCGCGTCAACGGACGCACGCTGGCGCTCCGACGGATGGAGAGATCGCTCAGCTGTCGAGAGCTGAAATGATCAACTCAGCTGTTTAACCTCGGCTTCAAAATTACAACAAGTGGTTCGTTGATAGAGCAACAACAACAAAAATTTGATATGATATAATGAATAAATGGAATAGTCGCCGCTTTCGCAGAAGCAAGCAGACGACACCAATATCTTTGTTTAGAGGTATTCTACTACACATATTGAACATTGGTAGGTGCGATCAAGTTCAGAACGTTTGACATTCAGGAACCTACACACCATTAATATATAAACCAAAAACGATCTTAACAACGTCGTTTACAAACGTGCTTACTTTATTTGGAAGACATTTTACTTTTTTCGGAAAAATAGAGAGCCGATGTAGGTCGCTTTTGGAAGGGCACCGTCATCACATGGAGACGCATCCTTTAGACTACTAGCAGTGAAGTAACAATTGGCGTCGAGTAATTCAGAATGAAAGGAAAATAGAAAGATCAAATTATTGTTGTTATTACTAACCTTATTTATTGTAAATTATGTTAACGGGTGCCTTTAAAACATTCTCGACAAGTGAGGGTATGGAGGGAAAATTCACTAGTCTCAATGTGATGACTCCTTGCCAGAGAAGTTGAGTACCAGGCCCGCAACAATTACGTAGCCAGAGCCTCAACACTTGCCTTTTGTCGACACTTACCCCATCTCGTACTGACGGCAACAGGCCTCACGGAAGTCCGTTACAGGCGACAATTCAGCTACAACAGGTCTCCCGGCGAACCAGCGGTTGTTTAGTTCTCGTACTGCCTTCTCAGCGTCATCTTCACGCCGAAACTGCAAAAAGCAAAATAAATCTTATTAGTCGATAGATAACACTGGAACACTATGTGCACTGTGGAATATTGAGCAAATTATTTGTTTTTATTCACAGATTTGCTGCTGCATTATGGCATGATACTGAGACAAATTCTCTTTAGCATATGTATTGAGCCTCACTCCTATAGTAGAGCTTCATCAAATAGGCACTGAGATTTCGTCTTAATTCACTTGGCTCTCCATTATCAATCATCAATCATCAATTAGTTTACCAAAAACAATATTTTAGTGAAAGTTCGAATAGTGGTAAATGCGAATCTTCGTACACTTGTATGCATATGCTTTAGACTAAACTAAACATTAATATAAAAAAACATCCCTTCAGAGGTGATATAGTTTTAATAAAATCATTCAGTAGCTGCTTACCTTCACATAGACATTGCCGACCAAATGATCTCCAAGGTTATCGCAGACGTTCATCTCTTCGATCTCGCCGTATTTGTCTTCCAGTTCAACGAAGACATCCTCAAAAAAGTTGTCGAAGTGTTCCTGCATTTCCTCCTCTGTCATATTCGTATGTGAGCCGTCAGCCGTTTGCGCGGTGTTTTGCGGATTATGATAGAGATTCTGCAAAAGAATAGTCTGCGAAAATGTCGGCTTGTTGTGGATTCGTGAGCAGCGATCCCCATGACGACACGCTCCGATCTTAAAGTAGAAGGAACAATTTACTCTGCAATCGAACAAAAAGAATTAGGTCAAAGTCACCACGAATAGAAGGTTACAGGTAATAACGCATATTATAACGGATTTGCAACATGCAAGAATAAAATTGTTTAATCCACTGAGTAATAAACGCTTTTATCTTCGCCTGAGTAGGTTATATATCATTGTTTTTCAGTATGTGGTCATTATGGCTATAATGGTATAAACTGTGCTACAACGGCGCTTAGACGTATAGATCTGCCTGGAGCACCGAGAATAAGTGGCGTCGATCACAGCTATTTTGCTGTTTCGAACATCAAATCATGTTAAGGTGTTTCCCATGCCAATGATGTTTTCAAGAATTACGACATTGTACCATCAGAGCAAACTTTAGCAATAAATTCCAACGTAGTAGTCATGAGCAATGGATAAGCAGGGGATAGATTCGCACAACACAAACTGCGTTGACTAGAGAGGAGGGCTATCAAGTGAGCAGATCTGTTAGGGGCGAACATCAATCGCTTTTGTTAAAGCTATTCGGACCGAAGTTCATCTCAAAAATTAAAGAGCTACAATTGCATAGTGCTTCAGGTAGAACTTTTTAACTAATTTGCTTGCTTGCGCAGACGGCTTGTCCTAGCAGTAACAGCCTCGTTTTAAAACCTTTTATATAACCGAATAGCATTATTATAAATACACAAGTAGTAGGAAGTGTCAAACAGGAACTTCTTGCTGCAAGTTCTCATCATTACAGTGCACATTGAATAATGTGTACGTATCGCATATTCGCAAACAACGTACACATGGCAGAAGCTACTAAGTATACCTTACGCAGGTGTTCACATGCTTACGATAAAAATGAGGGAGATACGTTTTCTGTGTTGGAAAAATGCACAGGAGTGGCAAAATTTGATGCCATCCTTTCAGTAGTTTAGCATTTAAATAGCAGTTTATTTTAGTGTTTATGATTGTTTAATGAAACGGATCGATGCGACGCATTAACCGGTAAATCTCATTAAAATGCACAGTTTAAAGTGAAAATAATGAGCAGCACAGCAAACATCATAAATTTAAGTAAAGACGGACGGTTAACAGGGACTGTGTCCACTGTAATCTCGATAATAATAAGCTTGGACTAGCTAGTTTGTTTCAAAGCCTAAATATTTAACTGCGACAAATATATATATATATATATATATGTCTAATATATGGTCAGTAATAACTTTTTTTTCTCCACATCGCGTTCATGCTGAAGCAACTGAGTTTTATACAGGCAGAGCGTATCTACAGTGTAGCGTTCTGGCAGCTAATGCCAGAAACGGGCTTCATTATGCTAGCTTATTTTCGCAACGCTTATTACAGCGTAGTTGTATTTCTTTCCCTAGTTGGTCTGTTAGTTGCATGTGAAATCTATAATACTTTCATAGGTCAATAACTCGGGAATAGCAATATTAGTGCTGATAATGCCGAATAAACACCGCGACGAGTTTCAAACACGAAGGCACATTATCTAAAAATGAGCTACTGTCGTGTACGACTACTGTGGCGGCTATGACGCTTTAAAAGTCGACGATAACTTAAACGATGCTTTGCTTACTTGTCCTTCTCCGTGCCGAAAATTGAGGCCAGATACTCAGCCATCTTCGCGTACTTTAGGTTTCCTACAGACTTGAAATTTACCACACACAACTGTTGCTAAAACATACAATCTCTCAACGCCGCTAAGTGTTGTGCTGCTGAGGCAAGTACAGAGGTCGCTGCGATCGCACGATCGGCCGACGCGCGGGAAATTTTGAATTACAAAACCCTGCTATCGTTAGAGTACCTATTGTTCTTGTCATAGCCCAGTGGTCGATGTGTTTGCCTGCTAGGCTCAGAGAAAGTCTGTATTTTTATGAGGATGTTGATGCACTTCGTTCCGTCCCGGACACCGGCCGTCTGAAGCAATATCTAACAGTTTAATTGCAAGACCTAAAACACGAAAAACATTTTTCTACGAGCTCCGCTGTCTCCGTGATACTTCGGTCGGCATATGGTTAGGGGGATACGTAACAAAAAGCTTGATGTTTTATTTTGCAATGTCGAAAAAAAAACTTTATAAAATCTCAGATATGTATTAAGAAGTATGGCAAATATATTTCATCCTGTATATACACTGGGAAACAAGAAAACACATTTCGAAATTGATTTCTCTTCTATTGTCGGTGTTAGTTCGACAAATAGGAACCAATTTCCCTTTTCAACTTGTGAGATGCTAGGTGCAAAGTACTCGATAGTTAAACGAATCAAAAAGCAGGAAGATGAAAACGCTGTATAAAAACCGAAATAGAGCAAATAAAACTAACGTAAACTACCTTTCTCCGCCCTAAGTCCTCACGCAGGTTTAAATCATAGTGAGGCAGCAAAACGTATGAGGGCGCATAAAACCACATAAATCACAAGCAGCGCTGAAAATTTCCGTTGTTGTTATTATTGTGGGTGAAATTTTCTTCTGCTATTAAGTCCATCCATTCATTTATCCCAAAGCAAAATTCGAATAGGCGCCAAAACGACTCTAACTGGGATTGTTAAGGGATGTACTGCTATTAATAGGATAATGACAATCGAACAGTTGGTGATTATATTTATCTGATTAGTTGTGCAGTATTCGAAAATAAAACTTAGCGGTATAGTTGGTCACGTGCTGTTACTGTTGTCTGTGTTTGGCAGAGATGGGTAAATGTTTAAGGGCCAGGACCGAGTGTGCACCTTAAAATGCGTTCGTATAAGCTGAGTCGCTGCTTTCAAGCGGTGCTAAACGATTAACCCTCAGCGGCTATGGTATGATGTTACTTTTGACGTCAATCTTGTACCTTAGTTACACAATGGTTTGAACGGAAAGTAAAAATATAGTAGCTTGCGTTCGTATCTTTCTTACATTTGCGGAAGTCTATGATATCAGAAAATCATGATGTTAACTGTTCAAAGAAGTGAAAGGCGTTGCTAGGATACTACTTGTTCGTTTAATATCTTGTACAAGAATTACTTAACAACAAATCAAACTCTAAAATTCAGAAAATAGCATACTTAATTTATTGAACACGCTTCTCATGTTCCACGTATTTTGAAATTGTTCTGATTAGAGAATTTATTCCAAATATCGGAACCAAATGGCTACTGTCGCTTGAGCTGTGTGGTATTAAACAGTACCGCATATGCACAACATCTGCTCACGATTACTTAGAGCCAGGGTTTATCCTTATTTCCGCACTGAATAAACACACCCGGCTCTACCCAATTCTGTGCAGCTACTCCTTGAGTAAAACCTAAAAACGGGTTAAAACCTGCTTAGTCTGAATCTAAGTTTTAGAATCCGAGAATTTTTTAATGGTGTTCTATGGCCCTATTGTAATCTCCGCGAAAAAGCTGTAGAGTTACTCACTGTTGTCTTTTTACGGTTTTCTCTATTTGTTTCAGTTAATTCACTGCATTGTTTAAGACATTCTGTTACTTTGCCATATTATCGAGTTATTTTGTGTTTGCGAGTCAACAGTTTTGCTTCAGTAATTCCGTTGGCGAGCATTAATTATTCAGTTATCATAATTCAGGTATTTCACTATCGTATTTTAGTTATTCTGTGACTGCGTAACATATGTCCCCTTCTCTTGTCCCAGCTACCTCCGTTGTCCCCGTGTGATCAAGTCATTGCAGTGTCATTACCACGTAACACGTCACACTAACCCAGTTACGACTATTCTAGGTAAAACTGACTCGTTTGAAAAGCCGTTTAAATATTAGGGTGACTCAAAAAACTAAACGGCGTGAGCAAACGATGTAGAAACATTAACATTTTCGGAAACTTTTAATCGTTTTCTGAGAAATGATATTTCAGGTCTGTGTTGGAACATAATATCTATCATAACATTTTCACGTCTTTGACGTCTTTATCATAGTATTTACGTGCCAAACAAAATACTTGTACGCAGAAAAAATGTGAACAACATGTTATTCATTTAAAAATATAGAATTTACAAGGTTATTTTCAACAACATATTTAAGACATTTAAATATGTTTTTGTTTTAGATAGCTAAAGAAATCTATAATCGCGATAGAGCTTACTTTAAAGCGCTGATATTACTAAAACATCGGTTTGCCAATAGCAATAGATAAAATAGATAGATAAAATGACTCGTAAGCTTTTAATAGCCATATTAGATGCAACGGTATTCATCGTATATGAAAATCTAAAGAAACCAAACACCTATGATATTAAAAAATTTCGCCGAATTTCATGTTTAGCGTTACGAGCAGAATCATTATACTGCTTTTCATTCGAGCATTTTAGGTATGTTGTCTCTATTAGGCTTGGGCATTAGCAGAATGTGCTGTGTTACTGAATCACCGTGATATTAATTGTGAAAATACACTACGATAAGAGAGTGTTGTCCTTAAATTAGTAGACAGAAGTCGACAATAGTGAATAATTCATTTATATATGTCGCATTTAAAAAAAAAATCAAAGATTTAGAAGGAATAAGTTTAAATTCAAAAAGTAAGTGAACATTTTAGCTATAGGTAGTGTAATGCGAGAACGTTTTGGTGGAAGGGATTAGGTCAGGTGCTATTGCATGAGACACTGAAATTAATGCACAAAGGCTTGATTTTTAATCGTATTACGGAATGTAAAGCACATTTTTAATTTTCTATATACAGTTTAAGGTGTTCTTTGACACTGAGTGTTTTAAATTTTAATTTGTAAGTTTTAAAATGAACAGACTTTTTGCATGGCTACAAAATTGGTGTTAATAGTGTTTCTTCGACTTATTTAAAATTATCAGACGGTGTTTTATCAGAGATACAGAGCAGAAACAAATATCAACGTAAAACAGAAAACAAGAAAATAAAAATTGTGAAGGCAGATTAAGATCATGCGATAGAATAATGATTATTGATCGATAAGAAAAGTATTTTATTGATACACACTATGAAATAGTATAATAACAGTAACTGGTTCTCACTTTTTTGAGTAGTTTTCTTGATCTTATAGATATTAGTTATTACATACGGGGCATATACTCCGCCGATATTTAACCTCATGGGCTTAGAAAATGCATACATATATGTATACGTATTATGTATACATATTATATGTATGCTCGATTCTTTTTATACTTCAAAAAGTGTGCAGGATCGTTTAGGACAGCGTAAGTATATGCGTAGGTGTCCCAATCACCTTCTATACTTTTACAAGTTAATGGCCTTGACCTGTTACTTATTCACGAAAGAAGAATATATGTATACTTTTTAAACGGAAGTTTAGTATGCAAATTTCATCAGAATTATTAATAAAACTTACAAACAAGTAAGAGAAAGCAACTTTTTTTTTTCAAACAAAGATGGGCGCATTGTCGTAAGGTTTGTTCATCACTTCCAGCCGGTTTGTCGCAAAATGCCACAAAAACCTTATTCTAAAAAGATAAAATTTTCTAAAACTAAGACTCTGAGCTTTCCTATAATTCCTATAAAGAATGACATTATCAGAAAAGGATAAAATCAAAAATGATTGAGAAAAAGGAAAAAGTTGCATGAGGCACCTAGATCGTTGTTTTAGCTTTCTATCAATCACTAGGCTCAGTACCACCAGAAGCTTTAGTGAAGGAGGAAGGCCTATTTTGTTTGAAGTTTGCTGCATTTACAACATTCAGGTTTTACAAAATGTGACTACAATTTTTGTGAAGTACAATGCTAAGTATTGCAGTTTACCGCGTGACATCTACTGACCACTGCGAGTGTTTTTTTTTTCAAATTAATGAAAGAATTCATATTTCCGGGACGCCATAAACTGCGAGTTGGGTCATAGTGTAAAAGCATGGTTCTGGAGTTTTATAAAGTGTCTGTCTTATGTATACACTCCCAATACATATTGCACTACCTGTGTAAGCAATACAAATTTTTTCATATCAAAAACAACAATAGTACAATATGCTAACGCATCTTTGAATAATATTAAAAATGAGCAATAACTTTATATGGTTTAGCATAAGGTTTCCCCACTAAAATTGGTGATATAAAGAGCATGGTTATAGATTCAGACAGGAACCAAGACGGCCTCCGATAAAGTAGAGCATAGTAGTAAATCTTTTTCGACTTCCTCCACTTTTTAATTGTCATTTTCAGTTAAGGTTACCATCGCACTAACCATAGAAAAGTGCAAAGTCGCAGCTTTTTTTTACAATACCTGTACAGATTTTCCGTAATAGATTAGGCGAAAGTATAAAATATAAGTCGGATAACAGAGTATTTTACTTACATAAAAAAAACTACGTTTTTTTAATATTTGGCTTATTCCGTGTATCAATTTCGCTGAAAATGTGCGTCTATATAGTGCTGATTTCAACGATTTATAAAGCTTGTTTCGATGGTCCTATTAGAAAGCTGTAAGCATCTACTTTCCAACAAAATTAGTTTAGTCAAATTCATTCTATATACACGCGCACATGGTGTATGCTGATTTTTTTTTGCCAAATTAGTCGCCGAGCTATAAGAACTTTTTTTTTATTTACACGAGCTATGCGGTATTTATGTATCATTGGCGGAATTACAAGCAGCGATTTCTCGAACTTTTCGAGTACTGTGTTCATTAAGTTTTGATTCAGACAGCTGGCTCCTAAACCAAGTGTCTCTACGCGCAGTTTTAAATTAAGGCCACTATGTGTGTCTAAGCGTGGTAAACAAACATGTTACCCCT